CAGGAGAATATTTCTTGATTTCTGTAGCACTCTTGAGAGTACTATGCATCTCGTGTAGTATTTTTGGGTACCATTGAGTTTGTGATTTTTCTCAATATGACTCTCATATACACTAATCTTACAATCAGGGTTACCTCAGGAAATTGTCCAGGATACGTTAACCTACCTCAGGGTTATTATAAGAAAGGGAAAAACAAAAGAATCATCCTGGGAAATATTACAACCCTGAGCCTAACCTCAGGAAATTTCGCATTTAAAAACTGCAGTCACTGACCACACATTCTTCCAAAAAAATTTTTACCATTTAACTTATTCTCAAGCTGCTCCACAAGAACACTTATAATTTCACCGACTCCAGTAGTCTAGTCTAACCTTGTCTACTTTCCCCAAGAATTTTTCTTGTTTTCATTATTCTAGTTAATGAATGTCCCGTTTTAAATAAGTCCTTAATGTAATATTAGGTGATTATTGTTGGATTTTATGATTTCTAATTTAGAAAACAGTGTCTCCGGGCATTTCAGAAGTCGTGACAGATGCATACTAAGGCCAGTGTAAGAATTGAGCATTTGAGAGACTAACATGAATTTTTGGTTCTTTATGCCTTAGTATTCTTACTAGACACACTCAAAGACCATCTACGACTCATACTCATATTTAAGAGTAAAACATTGAGTAAGTTCACAAATAGGACTGCTAATGCTTTGTTCCCAAAACAGACTTATTTAAGAGAATAAAAGCAGTTAAATTCTTTTCAATGAGTGAATTGGTCCAATTTTGAAAAAAAAGGTGGTCCTATTTGAGGAACTGCAAGAATTTTCTCTATTTAATTTCAGAAGCATATAATGTACTCAAGACCTCAAGTAGCATATGATGTGCTCAGATATTTTGAAGGATACGAAATTAGGAAAACTAATCATGGGAAACATGTTGTCAGACAAATTTAGCTTAATCTGCAAGACTCTCTAACAAAAAAATGGTTCACATATCACACTATTAGAGCAAAATTCAGAATGATAAAGAGAATCAACACAAAGCACTTTAGAATTAAATACAATCACACGGTGAAAATGGATAAAATAATTATGTAGGAAGAGTGGAGTATTTTGCCTGTGCTTCTTTCGTAGGGGCAAGGGGCTCCCATTGGCTTCTAGAGTCTGTATCGTTGATAGCTGCGATTGAGAACTGCAAAAAAGTTTGTTTGTTTGCTTTGTTACTAAGAAAAAAGAAGAATCGGAGAGGGGCGTATGCTTACACCGAATACGAGGAATTCACTAAAATAAACCCACGTACGCCGCAACTCACCATTGTATGTCCCTGTATGACTAAAAGCAGAGTCAAACCGTTCGATGGATAGCAACTTCGCTATGATTTCTTCTCCATTATTATTGTAAAGATTTATGGCGCGCGGTTCTGAAGTGCGAAGCCGCGAAGGCGGCGCACTTGCATCTCCATTATTATTACGCCGTAGCTACGCTGGTGAGAAATAGTGTTGCAAACATTTCCATTTTTATTTATCACTTCGTATTATTTAGCTCGCACTCCCCAGTATTCAGTGCACTTTTTGATAAGACACAAACTCACAAAGGCACTTGGATAGACGCTGCTCAAATATGAATTTCTTTATGAAGTCACTAATTTATAATATATATTTATAATATATTTTATTACGGAGTAATAAATAAAGAAAAAATTATATGTAAAAATAGTTAAAAGGATTTATTATAATAACTTTTTTTAGTATTGAGGAGATGTTTGAAATTGATTCTGCTTTCATTTCTTTTTAAAAAACAAGAGTAGAATCAGAATCATTTTCAGAAGCCCGTCTCTCCCGAATTCTAAAAACTTCTTCTAGGAGCATTTTGGAGCACCCAAAGTACTTTTTGCACTTTCCCCCAAACACTTCAATAATTGTTTCTGCTCTATGAAACAACAGAAAAAGTTTTAAAAAGCGGATTCAAACACTCCCCGAATAAAATCAAAGGGTATGAAAGAACCCAACTTATAAGATCACTTGTAGTCCAAAGGCATTAGGACTTCAAAATGTTAAAGATATTAATATTTTTCAATTATAAGAACCCAGACATCTTTAATGTCATTTACTAGATTTTTCAATTTAATTTGTTCACATAGACAACTTGTGTTTGTGCATGAACATTGGTTTCTGTGTAATCTAACCGTGACTCGTTTGCAAAAAACGTAAATCGGTGTGAGACACTTGCAAAACAATGTCTGTGTAGAGTCATTTTTTGCACAAATTTGTAAAGTTTGGTAGTTCTCAATTTCTATTTCCTGCACACAAATTATATAAGTATTCAGCATGACACGTACAATAGTGGAGGGCCAGGATGAAAGTGTCACTGCTAAATGCTAATGACCTCGAAATCTAGTATTTGTATTCGTGATAAAAACCAATGCTCCCCTATACGGAAAACATTTCTCTGCTCATATAATAAAATCCAAACTTGGTTAGCATGGTTCAGTTTTCCTCCAATTCTAACATTTTATTAAGACGGAAACATTCCAAATTAACGTCATTGTTAATCACCCTCTACAATAGGCAACACATGTTCAAATTTGCTTATGGTTATCACCCTCTACATTGTTAATCACCCTCTACAATGGGCCTTTCAAAAGATGCGTATGATGAACACTTTCAGGATTTAACAAGGTTGGCTTCTTATTATTTTAAAACACTTTCTTACTTTATGCCTACAAACTGTTTAGTAAAAAATCTCAAACATAGTTCATGACACTTTCTATAATTATCTTAGCATTAATTATTAGCAAATCTCTCATTCTTGCTTTATATGAAAAGAACTATTATAAAGTAACATCGTCTGTGTTTCATATTTTCATGTTTCTAACCCTAAAAAATGATAGAAGTTGTTAGTCTGAATTCACACAAAACAAATTCACTCGCTAGTCTTATTCGGTATTCAGTGATCAAAATGTAATCGTAATGGTGATGATAATACACATAAGAATTTTAAATCTTGACTAAATGAATTGATTGCAATAGGTAAAAGTAAAGAAACATCAAGTATTGGTTAATGAGGTTTTCTACACACCGTCTGAACATAATCAAAAGGGTTTTACAAACAGGTTGGTTGTTTTACAATCTGTAATTCCAAAAGTAAAGAGGAGAGTAATTCTTGAAGAGTGGAATGACTCTGATAACAACAATGCTCAACATGACGACTTCACTGAAGCTGCTGCACTAACTACCAAAAGCAAATGGAGAAGGCACTGGTTTTAATTTATTCATATGTTAATGTTAATTAACTTAATAAGTTATGTTTAAGCAGGAAATAATTATTCTAATAACAATCTAATTGTGAGATAGGGGATCGTACAAGATACTATTCAAAGAATTTATAATCAACGAATGAATTAATATTGATGAATCTCAAAACGAATACTAGAATGAATGTGTTCCATAAGCAAGGAATTTCAGTCAGTCTATTTTTCTTCATTGCTAGTCTATTTAAATAAAGTCCTAATTCTATCTTCTCCACGTGGGTTTAACTGCTCGGCGAAATGGTAGTTCCTCCTACTGATGCGGAAGTCGTTCCTCTATTTTCTCCACAAGCTCTTAGGCATTCTTATCCGTTCCGTCACCTTACTTAATTGAGCTGGACTCTTTAAAATGGACTGGCCGTTCTTTGATGTTTAACAAAACCCCTACAGCAACGTGGGCCGGTCCGCTTGACAAATCCAGGCCCAACAAGTTATAAAGCAAAACGATAAAATCACTAGGATGCAATATTATTTAGGTCATGGTTTATCTGTAAGACTACTTAAATTCTAGTCTATTGCAATTACACAAAGAGAAAATGGTCAGATAGGCCCACAAACTTACATTAAAAGATCAAATAAACCCTTATATAGGAGACTTTGTCTGGCCGTTGCCATTTGGGGCGGTTCCCGGTGAATTTTTTTGATGATTTTTTTTAACATCTTATTCTTTAAGTCTAGTTTACTCATACCAAATTCCAGCTAATACTTTAATCGGAAAGGCATTCAAATGAATTCTTGAAGATAACTGCGCAGTTAAAAGCGCAGTTGTCTTCAAGAATTCATTTGAATGTCTTCCCGATTTAATTGTTAGGTGAAATTTGGTATGCGTAAACTAGACTTAATGAATAAGATGCTCACAAAATTTCATCAAAAATATCCACCGGTAACTGCCCCAAATGACAACGACAGGACAGAGACTTCTATATGATGACTTATTTTGACCTTTTTATGTAAGTTCGAGTGTCTATTTGACATTTTTCCCTTTACATAAATCATTCAAAAGTCCTGCATTGTGTAGTGTCAATAGCTAATGTCATATACTCAAAAAGCGATAGTTATTTTTGTAAAGATTTATTTTGGAGCATTGTGAATTCTGGTTAAACTCTTTTGTAGTTGCATTTCACTTAAATAACTTGGCGTTTGTGAGATTGTTAACTCAATTAATTAGATTAATAGCACATTTTTCTAATCATTCAATTAAACAAACAGAAAGATTGCCCTTTACTATATTCAACACTCTTCAACTAAACAAACAGAAATACGAATTTCATTTTTCACATTTTTTTAATAGGGAAAGTTCCCGAAATAGGACTAAAACAGTTTGAAAATTCCAAAATAGGATTGTCATGTTTTTTATTTCCAAAATAGGACTAATTACTGTCAAGTTTAGAAAATACTGCCATGTTTGAAGTCTTGTACTGCCAAAATATGTCAGTAATTAGTCCTATTTTGGGAATAAAAACATGACAGTCCTATTTTGGAATTTTCAAACCTTTTTAGTCCTATTACGGGTAATAGTCTCTTTTTAATATTATATACTATCGGTAAAGTAACTAGTGGATAATATTTTAGTCCTATTACGGATAATATTTTGGAGGAAGTATATTATATTCAACAAGATGGTAAAGTCATATAGTTTTAAAAAAAATAGAATTGGTCCAGTGCAAAAAAAACTTGCCCAATGCAGAACTATTTTGGCCCACTGCAAACAAACGGTCCAGTGCTAATCTAATTGTCTAAAGAAAAGAATCGCAGCACCTAGAGATGGGCATCGGCATATCACGCATTCACGCACGCCTCAGAACTCGGAAGTCAACCATACTCGCATCGCCGATTTGCCGGACGCCGCCGAACCGCCGCTCGCCCTCTCCGCCGTTCTCATCACTGGAGGCCGGACGCCCACCCTCTGCTGCTCGCCGGCTGCTGTCTGCTTCTCTGGAGGAGTCCAGTCTCGACACAGCCAAGCTGCCAAGGTAAGGGTTTCAGACTTCAGTTTTTTTTTGTTTTTTACAATTTTTAGTTTCATTTAAGAATTTTATTTCTTATTTTAGTTTGTGTTAGTGACTTAGTGTGTCACAATTGATTTATGTGCTTTGAATTGTGAAATGAAAAATTAGGAATGTCAAATGTTATTTGTGAATTTCTTAAAATATTAATATGAATTAAAATAAAATATTGATTAGTTTTTTTGTTTTTTTTTTTGCTAATTTTAGTAGGCATGCCTACTCAATCTACTTCCAAAAAGGCAAAAATCACATTGCCTTCGTTTTATAAGCCTAGTACAAGCACACCAAATAGACAAGAGTTAATTATCTCAATTGAAACTCTTAATATCTCATCCGCTCAAGAGGAAGTAGTTTCTGATGCACTTTTAATTGAGAGGGATCCGGGTTAACGGAAAACGATAAGTGATTGACTGATTGGCCGTTAGAGAAAAGGGATGAAATTAGACGATCTTATTTGATGCTTGGACCTTATCAACCGAAACTTAACTTTTACAAAGGCCGAGAATACAAAGATAGGATACATCGTTTTCAGGCTCACGAGAGGCATGCTTTGAAGAGTGAGTTGCAATTTTATGAACCTCACATAGTTCAAAATTCTCAGTTTCAAGTTCACTCTCTTGCAAAGTTGAGTGAAGAGTTGGTCAAATCTGGAAAGGCAGAACACTTCAAAATGGTTACAGACTTGCAAGATTAATTCATCTTGTATTGACTTTACCTGTTTCGACTGCAACAACAGATAGATTATTTTCTACAATGAAAAACGTGAATAATGCAATTCGTAACAAGATGAATGATGAATTTCTTGCCAATCGTTTGACCATCTGCATTGAAAAAGAATTTGACCACAAAATCGACGTTGAGCCTGTCATAGATGAGTTTGCTAAGGTCAAACAACGTCGTATTCAGTTAACGTTTTAGTTTCAAATATTGTATGTACTGTTTAAAAATACTATTATGAATTTTAATGGATTTTAATCATTATGTTCACACTATTTACGCTTTTAAATTTTTTATATACTGTTTTTAGTGGATTTTAATCATTATGTTCACACTATTTACGCTTTTAAGGGCCCCGGGTAAACATCGGTCCTAGCTACGCCCCTGCTCGTAGGGTTCTTGCTCGACGCTCCTCCAGTAGCTCCAGTCAGCACTAGTGCACCACTGCACCAGCGATCCAACTTCCAGTATCCAGTCAATCCACGGCTCTTTCGCGGCACTGCCTCCACGCGATCACGCCTTAACAGTGAGACATTTCTAAATACTCAGTGATTGCCTTTTGATTAGATTTGAAATCTGCTTGAATTCCTCGACTATGAATGTGGGCTTTATAATTTTTCCCAATGGCCATGGCTGGTCCAATTTATTGGTGTTTTCCTCAACTTTTGCTTAGTTCATTTGTGTTGCAGTATGTTTTTTTGCTTAATTTATTTGTTGGTGTGGTATTATGGTTTAATTCATTTGTGTTAATAGTAAGGATTTGTTTAGTAAAACTCTACTTCAACTTTAGGAAAAAACTACTACATTGAATCAGATCTTCCAAACGGCTCTAAGTAAATAGTACTCATATATTCAGTATTACTAGTTCAATCATCACCATTTCATAAATATTGTGTTTCACATGTTATTCTTTTAGGATTATTAGCTTATTTTATCTCAAACTATCATCAAATTCACAAATCTATCATATTGTTTCACTTTTATCAAAAAAAGACTCAAACTTCATATTTTTCAACAATTATGTTTTTTCTTCAGAATTACACATTTTTATTAGCAATACAAGTTTGTACACTTAAAACTAGAAAGAAGTGAAAAAATATGAAACATAAATATGATTTTCTTCTTAATTTTTACTAATTCATTCATTAAAAGGGTAATTGTGAGAAATGTTGAAGTTTGAGTCTTTTTTTAATAAAAGTGAAAGTATGAGATAAATTTGTGAATTTGATGGTAGTTGGGGATATACTTAGCTAATAATCCTATTTTTTATCACAGAAGGTTCTTTATTGACTTAAGCAATCAATAGAAGAATTAGGTGAGCTATAAATTAAAATAACTGACTTCAGGGAAAGATAAAAAGAAGCTGAGTATACATGTATAAAAGCTGAATATCAGCTTATGCCGTTTTTGTTTATTGTGTTTGAAGATAAGATATATTCACTATTGTGTTTGCGACTTCGCGTATAAGATGTCCTGCACAAATAGTCTAACTTGTCCTTAGGAAAGATGTGCGCCCACATTCCGTGAGCCGCACAACTCGGCTCAATGTCCCCAAAGCGTCTTTACATGCTTAACACCTTTAAAACTAAGACCATGACGTCCTTCACTACCTAGGGTAAGAAGGAGAACTCTGTATAAGCTTTGATATATTGTTATTAAATGATATTTGTAAGATGATATTAAAGGCTTTTTGGAGCACTCAATAGTAAGTAGGCCAAAACCATATCATTTTTATATTTCAGAAGCAAGTCTAGTGTTCATTATTGGAGTCCGAGGATCAAAGTTGATACAAATCTTTGAAGCAAGTGGTTTTCAAAGCACATCTGTGTACATGTGTTGGGGGTGATTTTTTCATGTTTGTGAGTTATCACCCCACATTTTGTCATTCAACTGCATGATAAATGCCATTACTAATAGAATGTTACCTTCTTAGATGGTCGTTTCTTGTGTTTGCCTTTCCAGGTCAACATGTAAAAGGCTGACTAGTGATTATATGAAAATGATCTGCTCAAGGCATGTTTCTTGTCTGATATTTATTATTAACTTGATCCTCATTGGTCCAGCACTGAGTCATCAGAGTAAGTAAGTACTCTCTCTTATGCATATCAAAGCTCACATATTTAAGAAATGAAATCTGAGTTGAAGAATGAGTTTCTTTTTTTCTTGGATTTTGACAGATTTATTGCTATAAAGTACTGCAAAATAAGACAATTTTATACTCAAATAGCTGTTTAGTCTTCACTTGTGTACGGTACATTTGTTTTTCTATGTATTCCTTGAGTTTGAAGAATATTCTAATTTGGTTAATGTAGAATCTTTAGTTTTGGCAATTCACAACTATTAAAAAGTCAAGAAATCATATTTATTTTTAAAAACGTGTTATTTCTTAAAATTCCATTTATTTTTAACTTGTTTGTAACGTTTTTTTGGATGCATGCATGAAAAGTTCAGCTTAGTTTGATGATATAGGACACTTTTTGGCATAAAATTTAGAATAAACTTTTGAGCATGACTCTTTTTGGTACCAAGGGAGTATGGAGTAGTATTTATTCCGTACTACATAGAAAGTGTGGCAGGACTTCGGTGTCATGTCATTAAATTGTATGTTGAAGTTGTTATCTTGATAGCTTAGGTTACATTTCACCTCATGATTTTTTTAGGGAGAATTTGTCTTTGCACCCCACTTTTTGGGGCATATTGGACTTTGCAACCCATTTTAAAAAAAAAATGACTTTGCGACCAATTCCACTGAAAAATCCTTTGACTTTGCACCCAATTCAGAAATATTTCTTCACAAAATGTGATAGGACCTCCTCGATCTTAGCTCAATTAACAGAAATGAAATTTGACAGCAAAGAAGAAAATACTGCTTTCATTCAATAGAGGTAAACCGTACAAGAATTGTCCCAAAGAAGGAGATAGAACTCCAACTTCCCAGTCCCAGACAATGAACTAACAAAAGCCTGCCTTCCCTCTGCAGAATTATTCTATTTATAACCTTCACAAACGAAGGTAGTTATTAGTTACTAACAGCTCCTATAACTAATAACTAACTAGTCTACTTTGACTTTCTAGAATAGACTTGCCCATAGAATCTATTTCTATTAGGTAGACTAGCCGGGTCCTTATCAATACCCCCTTCTTGAACTACCAACTTGTCCTCAAGTTGGAATTCAGGAAACTGCTCCTGTATAACTTGAATATCCTCCCATGAGTCTTCAAAATCAGGAAGTTCCTTCCAATGTATAAGGACCTCCTTCTTCCCTTCCTGATTTATCCTGATGTCCTTCACACCATCAGGTCTCACTTGCAGCTCACAATCTTCTGTGAGGCAATCTGGGAGGTTTTGGTAAGTCACTGTAGGTTTCAATGCCTTCTTCAACAATGATATATGAAATACAGGGTGGATTCTACTCCCCTCTGGTAACTTGAGTTTGAAAGCTACAGGACTGAGCTTCTCTGCAATGTCATAGGGCCCGTAGAATCTTGGACTTAGCTTTTGGTTGATCTTCTTAGCTAAACTATTCATCTTATAGGGCTGTATTTTGAGAAACACTTTATCTCCCACTTCCAGTATTTCTTCCCTCCTGTGTTTGTCAGCCTGTTGCTTCATCAAATTCTGAGCTCTGGCCAGATTGTCTTTCAATTCCTTCAACATGATATTCCTTTCAGCTGTCAATTTGGCCACTTCATCTATGGCAGATAGGGTAACATCTCCTCGAATGATAGAAGGAGGATGTTGTCCAAATAAGGCCTTGTAGAGAGTACCCTTCAAAGAACAGTTGTAATTAGTGTTGAACCAGTATTCGGCCCAAGGAAGCCACTTCATCCACTGTCTAGGTTGTCTGCCACTCAAACACCTTAAATAAGTCTCTAGACACTTGTTCACCACTTCAGTTTGCCCATCAGTTTGAGGGTGATAAGCTGTGCTGTATTTAAGTTTTGTCCCTGCCATTTTGAAAAGCTCAGACCAAAAAGAACTCAGGAAAATGTTATCCGTGTCACTAACAATGGATTTGGGAAATCCATGTATCCTTACAATCTCCTGTACAAAAACTTCAGCTACTCCCTTAGCATTAAAAGGATGAGCCAATGGTATAAAATGTGAAAACTTGGTCAGTCTGTCCACCACTACTAAAATAGTGTCTTTCCCTTGTGATTTTGGAAGACCTCCAATGAAATCCATACTAATATCAGACCACACCTGGTCTGGAATGGGTAAAGGTTGGAGCAACCCTGCAGGTTTCAATGCCTGGTACTTGTTTCTTTGACATATTTCACACCCTTGAATGTAGTCCTTAATGTCTGATCTCATACCTTCCCAAAAAAATAAATTTGTGATCCTCTTCATGGTTCTGAAATATCCAGAATGACCACCTACTGCAGAGTCATGGTATTCTTTCAAAATAGTCTGAATTCTGTGGGATCCTTTTGGTAGTACCAGCCTCCCTTTGTAGTATAGAAGCCCCCCCTTCATCTTGTAATCCATACACAAACCAGGCTGTATCACTATCTTCTGAATCATTTCTCCCCATCTAGGATCCTTCTCAAGTTCTTCTCCCAAACCATCCCATTCCTGGCAAGTAACTGTGGAAAGGGCTGTAAAAGTAGCTTTTCTGGATAGGGCATCTGCAGCTTTGTTCTCAATCCCTGGTTTATATTTAATAATAAAGTTGTACCCCATAAGTTTAGCTATCCACTTTTGTTGGTCTTCCCCCATTACCTTCTGTTCAGTCAAGTTTCAAACTTTTTGGTCAGTATGAACCTCAAAGTTTCTTCCAAGAAGGTAAGGTCTCCACTTCTGAATGGCAAACACAATTGCCATAAGTTCCTTCTCATAGATTGATTTAGTCAAATGCCTTGGTGAGAGTTCCTTGCTCATGTAGGCAATAGGACCCCCTTCCTGCATAAGCACAACACCCAGACCTTTCCCAGAAGCATCTGTCTCTATCACAAATAGTTTTGTAAAGTCAGGTACCCTCAAAACAGGTAATGAAGTCATGGCCTCCTTCAGATCATTGAATGCTTTAGTAGCCAGATCTACCCATTTAAACCCATCCTTTTTGAGTAAAAGAGTAAGAGGTGCAGCAATCTTGCTATACCCTTTTACAAATCTCCTGTAGTACCCAGTCAACCCTAGGAAGCCCCTCAATTCCTTCAAATCTCTGGGTATGGTCCAATTCTTCATAGCTACAATTTTCTCAGGATCAGCTGCCACCCCTTCTGCAGATATTATATGTCCCAGATAACTCAGTTGATCCTGTCCAAATGAACACTTCTTGATATTTGCTACCAGATGATTATCCTGTAGAGCTCCCAGAACTTCTCTTAAGTGCTCTTCATAATCATCCTTAGTTTTACCGTAAACTAAGATGTCATCAAAGAACACTAAAGCACTTTTCCTCAGAAAAGGTCTCAGTACCTCATTCATAAGAGATTGAAAAGTTGATGGTGCATTGGTCAGCCCAAAAGGCATCACTAGGTACTCATAATGCCCTTCATGAGTCCTAAAAGCTGTCTTATGAGTATCACTTGCCTTCATCCTGATCTGATGATATCCAGCTTTAAGATCTAGCTTTGAAAAAATTCTGGCACCACCTAACTCATCAAGTAGTTCCTCAATCACTGGAATAGGGAACTTATCAGGTATGGTCACCTTATTTAAAGCCCTATAGTCTCCACAAAACCTCCAGACCCCATCTTTCTTCCTAGCTAAAAGTATGGGGCTACTATAAGGGCTATTACTGTTTTTAATGATTCCAGACTTCACATTTCAGCTATGATTTTCTCAATTTCATTCTTCTGATCAAAAGAGTACCTTTATGGTCTGATATTAGGTATCTCTGCTCCTTCCTTAATATTAATGGCATGATCACAGTCTCTGGCAGGTGGAAATTTCAGAGTTGCTGTGAATACCTCTGGAAATTCTGTAATTAACCCTTCCCATTCTCCTCCATCAATTTTCTGTTCTTGAATCCCATGTTGTCCCTCATAGTATAACAAATAACCATCCCCCACCTGTTGAAGTATGTGTGCCATAGTTTTCATAGAAACCTCCATCTGATTTGCTACATTGTTGCCTTTTATCATGCAAGTGACTCCCTGATTCTTCCATTTGATTATTTGCTGTTTAAAGTTGACCTCCATATCCCCCAGCTCAGTCAACCATTCCATTCCCAAGACTAAATCAATTCCTCCCAATTCCAATACATAGAAGGTTTGATGAATTTCCACTCCTTGTATATTGATATCAACTTCAGAGCATTGGCCCAAATTAGGAATGTGATCCCCATTTCCTATTTGCACCTTATATCCTTTGATTGGATTATAAGGAATATTCCACCTTTCTGCCAACCCCTTGGACATGAAATTATGGGTTGCCCCACTGTCAATAAGGATAGTTACTTCTTTCTCTTCTCCCTGCCACTTCAATTTCCCTCTCACTTTGAAAGTGGTCATGGAGGAAATGCCCTCTTTGCTCAAAATGGATAGCTGCATGTTATTCATGTCCATCTGATTTGAAGTAGTGTTCTGGCCCCCTTCTGATTCTTCATATTCCACATCAGAATTTTCCTCTCCTTCAGAATTTTCCACCAGAATCATCTTGTAATTCTTCGATTTGCACACATGTCCTCTTCCCCAAGTCTCCCCACATTTAAAACATAGGCCCTTTTTGCTCCTCTCCAGTAATTCTTCTTGGGATAGTCTAGGTCCCTGTCTCCTCATCATCTGTTCCTTCACATCATTGTTGCTTTTATTATCAACTGTCACCTTAGAAAAAGGTTGGAGGTTCCTGGATGACTTCTCCACTTGTTACTGTCATTCCAATTCTGCCCTGCTGATTGACTGCTAACCCTGTTCTGATTCTTCTTCTTACTTTCCTCCTTATTCTTCATAAAAACAGCTTCAATGTTCTTGTTCTCAATCAAAGAAACTGTATCCATAATTTCAGCTAAAGTCCTGGTATTGTACAACTTCAACTCTGCTCTTATATCCCTCTTTAGTCCCTTGAGGAAGACTCCCTTCAACACTTCTTCAGATAAGTGTTCCTGAGAGGAAATGGCTGTTTCAAATTGATTTCTATACTCAGCGATAGAACCTTTCTGCTTCAGACTAAATAGAGGTCCCAAGGGATCCTGAACTACTTCCGGCTGAAATCTCCTGATCAACGCCTTAGTAAAAGCGTTCCAATTCAGGTGTATTGCTTGTCTCTCCCACCATTGGAACCAGCTAAGTGCTTGATCTTCCAATGCGATCACTGCAACATCCAACTTCTCCTCTTCCGCAGTTCTATTCAACCGGAAATACCTGTTCATCCTCAACATCCAACCACAGACATCCTTCCCGTTGAAAACAGGAAGATCAATCTTCCTCCCCATTCTCGGACTATTTCTATGATTCCGCCTTTGATCGTAATCAATTCGCGAATCTGTGTGATTCGATGGATTATCCGAGTCACCAGAAGAGTCTTCATTCCTCAAATGCCTGTGCGGTGCTGCTCGATGCGCATTGTTCGATCTCTGCGAATTGCTCCTTGATCGTCGAGTGATCTGAACCTGGATATCTGCAATGCTAGCTTGTATCGCTGCTTGCATCGTCGCCAGATTATCCACACTCGCTTGCATCTCACGCTGACTTCGTTTCACCTCGTTAATTCTTCCTTCCATTTTGGCGCGCGTATTTCTCATCCGGCGATCGAATCGCTCTGATACCAATGATAGGACCTCCTCGATCTTAGCTCAATAGAGGTAAACCGTACAAGAATTGTCCCAAAGAAGGAGATAGAACTCCAACTTCCCAGTCACAGACAATGAACTAACAAAAGCCTGCCTTCCCTCTGCAGAATTATTCTATTTATAACCTTCACAAACGAAGGTAGTTATTAGTTACTAACAGCTCCTATAACTAATAACTAACTAGTCTACTTTGACTTTCTAGAATAGACTTGCCCATAGAATCTATTTCTATTAGGTAGACTAGCCGGGTCCTTATCAAAATGTTGTGTTGGGGTGCAAAATCAAAGTTTTTTCAAAATGGGGTGCAAAATCAAAGTTTTTTCAAAATGGGGTGCAAAGTCCAATATCACCCAAAAAGTGGGGAACAAAGTCAAATTCCCCCATTTTTATTCTATTAAATTGCAGTTGTAAATTGCTTGCTAAAGCTCATGATAATGAATTTACAGAAGTCTATCACAATTCAATTTTCATAGGCTTGAGACCAAATTCTTGAATGTTGGGGATGAACTTCATAAGGAAACTATTCCTCTACAGTCAGGATCTCGTCTCTACCATTTGCAGGGACTGAAGTCTCACACTTGGTATGAAGTGAAGATATCTTATCCTGCATCTGTATGTACGCCTTTATTTATATATTTAAATTTCTTATTTCCAACTCCTAATCTTTCAAAGCTAAATAATTTAGTATGTTGAATGATTAACAGATACCTGCTACTTTTTCCTTACAACTGAAGAGAGGTAGTTCAAAGTTTGAGTCAAGTCAGGGAAGAAAGTTACTGAATACTGAAAAGTTAATTTTCAAGACCGGTAGCTTGGACTTGCTAAATAATCAGGCAAGTAGAAAAAGTCTGATTCTCTCCGTCCAAAATTAAATGCTTTTTAGCCAAAAAATGGTCGAAGACCTATTCTGTTTCAGGAATCACTGAATGTTTTATTATTATTCCGTATTATTTTTAAGAATCTTTCAAATTTGCTGAAATTAACTTATACTACATCTGTCCTAAAATGTGAGATGAAGTGGTTATTTTACAATTTTAACTTGCAAAAAGTAAGTAAAGGTAAGATTGGTCCACAAAAAGTAAATGGTGAAGGGATATATAAAGGGAGAAAGTGGGGAAGTAAAAAGTTAGTGGAGTTCAATATAGGAAAGTGTTCATATTTTTGAGACAACCCAAAAAGGAAAGTGTATCTTACAATGTGGGACAGAGGGACTACTGAGGGAGTACTACATAAAATGTTTTTTTGCTTCGAAAAGAATAAAATGCGTTAATGCTAATCTTAAATTAGAAAATAGGCTTCTTAGTATGTGTACACTTTCCTAAAATGTCAATATTTTGGCACACATAAGGTAATTCTTTAAGGATGCATAAATGTATATCATTTTAAATAAGAAGTTTTGTGCAGGATGCTATGTTTATTCTAGTAACCGTGGAGCCTGAGGGGTTTGTTGCAATACCTGGAGTTCAGGAAAGAAATTCCATCATGTTTAACATAGGTACATGAAAGTTGAAAGTATGCTTGACATATGTGCCAGTATAGCCCAGTTTTAGATTCTTGAAAAATATTTCTTTTCTTCTGTTGCCAATTTTCTAGATTTCGGTGCTTTGTCGCCAGTTTATGGTTTTTAGAGCATATACCTCAAAAAGAAGTTTGACAAAAAATCTCACGCATTTGCGTTTTCACAATTTTACTCTATGATTCCGCCCCAAGCTGACACTGTATTCCCTTTTCCCACTAACAAATATAGGTATATGATATTTTGGGATCAGGGCTCCTACCAATGGTATTGCAGGAGAGGACATTGGGGTGGTCCTCATAAAAAGTAATTAATATAAATTTTAATAAATTTCCATACATATTAATTGATCTCTTATCATCTTTTTCTTTCTTATGTTTTTTATCCATATATATATATATATATATATATATATATATATATATATATATATATATATATATATATAGGAAAAAGATCTTGTCCATCCTCCCGGACAGGATGCTTCATCCTGCCATTGCCGTTTGGGGCGGTTACAGGTGGGAATTTTTTATATTTTTTTCTTGAGCATGTTTTCAATCAACTCTAGTTTATTCACACCAAATTTCAGCTTAAAATTCAATCAGGAAGGCAATCAAATAAAATTTTGAAATAACTGTGTTTTATATGTGTATATTTTGGTGCAGTTATCTTCAAAAAATTATCTTACCATCTTCCCGATTGAATTTTAAGCTGAAATTTGGTGTGAATAAACTAGAGTTGATCGAAAACATGCTCAAAAAAATTTATCAAGAATTTCCACTGGGAATCACACCAAACAGTGGCAGCCGAATGGAGGGTCCTGTCCATCCGGCTGGACAGAATCATTCCCCCCTCTCTCTCTCTCTCTCTCTCTCTCTATATATATATATATATATATATATATATATATATATATTCTTTTTATCCTTTTTATCTTATCATTTTTATGTATATCTTATATCTATTTTAGATTATCTTTTTACCATATCTTAAATTTTTTCTTTCTTTTCCTTCGGCTCCGATATCATATATCGTTTCATGTTAACCGACCCCAAAATCCTTTGGGAATAAGGCTGGGATGTTGTTGTTCCATAAAGTTTTTGTTACATGTAAGACTAAAGGGTTATACCAAAATTGGGCGTGTCAGAGCATGGGTTGGCCCCCATATGGCTACGCCCATGGGTCTTCCTTCCACTTTCACACACACTACTTAATATGTTCCCGACTTGATTAGCGTTTTGGTATATAAATGTATGTTAGCATTTGGTGTTTACAATTTGTCATATACAAAATTTTGCATATGGATTTGTTAATTGTTTAATGGATTGTGTTTACAAATCTTGACAGTTCTCTAATATGCAAGGTAAATTTCATTACAGTTTGTGATGAACTATATTTGGGCATTCCACAGAAAGCGTGGTACGTTGTTGTGTTGGTAATACTGTGCTTGGTAGTCTCATTTGCCATCCCATCATTTCTTCCACCGCACCTTCTACCAAGGAACTCAAAGAAGAAATAAATATAGCTGTTGATCACAAATCATTATTTAGGATTTTCAAATAGGCTCTGTACTTCGCGGGTGAATGAGTTCCTTGTGTATTTTTTTTCTTCTGTGCAGTCTCGCGCATAAGCAATTTTTACAATTTTTTTCTTACACTCTTGAGTGGCAGACTATGTTCTGTGGTTTGAAATGTTCTAAAAAGATTAGACATAGTTACAGACATGTTCTAAATAGGTCCTGGTGGATGGGGCCTAAACCGGCTGATTAGACATGGTTACAGGGCTCAATTCAAAACAAAAGCACTAGTACTCGAGAAATGTCTAGTGGAGACCTATTGTTCTGATGCCATAGTGCATTAATGCCTGGGTGAAAATGGAAAAAGTATATTTAGTGGGCGGACCAAATAAATCAAAAGGATGGGTGTATTTGCAACACTCCACTGGAGAGAGAAAACAATTGCTCCTCTATGGTAAAGAAAAAGCATTCCTTGCCCGCTGCTGTTTCAAATGGTTACACGGAGGGTCTCAAAATGGTGTTTGTGCTAGACGCTTTAAATTGCCAATTTACCTCCTTAGTCCTGGACTCTGTTCGGGCCACCTGGCTCGGGAACCGGCCCGGGCCCAGTTATTTAGGCTGAGCGGGGCGGGTTCAGGTTGTTAAAAAGGAGGCCCGGTTCGGGTCAAATTGATTTTTTCTCATTTTTTTTGGGCTCCACCCAGGTTGGGCTTGATGTTCAGGAGGGGTTTGGGGGGTGGGGATGAGGGGGGGTCAAGAATAGGTAGGTAAGCAACAAAAATAATAATTAACCAAGCCCGACTGCCCGAGGCCCGGCCCGGACCCAATGGCTACCCGGGCTGGTCTTGGGTCCATCTATTCAGAACCGTCAGCCTGAATCCACCCCTATACCTCCCCATTGGCATTTGGAATTTGGGAATGTCATGAGTAGGGATGAACATGGGTCGGATCAATCGGAACTGGACTGGCCCGCCACTGTGCGGGACTGATCCGACCCGATTGCAACTTGCAAGGGACTGGGCTCCGGCCTAGGGCTTGAATCGGGGGGTTTGGGCCGGGTCATGGGTATGGCCGTATGGGGTTCTTTGGTACTGACCGGGCCGGGTTTGGGCTATTTTTTTTTGTTTTCAAATTCTTTGAGAGGTAAATGGGTTGGGCTGGGTGTTTTGGAGGGGTTTGGGTTGTGGTGGTAGGAAGTAATTAGAAAAGCAAAAAAAAAGTGCCCGGGCTTGTCCCAGGCCCGGTAGAATCCCGGGCCGGTTCTAGGCCTTAACCTGACAATCTGACATAAAAAAGCTCAGTTTGTACTGGCCCGAAGCCCAGCCCGGAACCTGTCCATGCCTAGCCATGAGAACTATTGACAATTTGTTTGTTGATGTTATGAAAGAAATTTCACATTTTCTCAAGATGTCCGTAGGACTGAAAGTGGTTTCTAAATTAACGATGAATCGATGATGGTTTCTACTTTCTACATTCACAAATTGATCAAAACTTATGGTGCAACTGTGCAAGAGTGACATTAATAACAGTGTAAATCATGATTTTGTGAAAACCAAAGGTGGATATGTCAATTTTCAATCATAACAATTGAAACAAAATCCACTGAGTTTCCTATTGATTAGGGTCCGTTTGATAACTTTTATTTTTAGTTTATACGTAGCAAGTCATAACAACTTTAATCCCTCCTTTTTAATTCTCTTTCCTCCCTTAATGAAAGAAAAGTGAAGGAGAGAGTACGGGTGACTGGGAGCCTGGGACAGGCCAGGTTGGGCCCGAGTAGGCCGCGGCTCAAAGATTGTCAAGCCCGCTATCGGCCCAGTTTGTATCAGTACTTGGTTCGGGCCTGTTTTATTTATTTTTTTTTTAATTTTTGTTGTTTGAATTAATTCCAACCCCCACCCCACCCCCAAACCCCTCCAAACCGCCCAGCCCCCCACCTAGCAAGCAACCTAATGGAAAATAAAAAAAAAATGTGATCGTTGGACCCGGACTGGTCCACCAAAATAGGATCCCGGTACCGCTTGCTTCTTCATCCGAGTCAGACCCCGGGCTTGGTCCCGATCAACTGGGCCAGGCCGGGTCAGGTAGGCCTGTCCAAGTCCATCCCTAGGAGAGAGTTCTTAATTCTCTACAACCAGGTGATAGAGCTCAATTAATTGAATAACGTTCACGCCCTGCTAGGAGCAGAGTGATGGTTTAGGCTTTTCGAACTTCCACCACATCAAGGCAAGAATAGGGATTAGGGAAGAAATTATCTTATTAGTGAAATTTTTATAAATATAATTACTTTGATTTCAGTATCAGCATATTCAAACATTTCAATCATTTTAGTCAAAATTTTATCAATAAAGTAAACCAATTTAGTTGATACCTATATGACCTGTTATTCGATTACTAGTGAGATTGAAAGGTCACTTCAAAAGCATAAAAAGTGCATTTATATTTATTCAAGAAAAACTCTTGAGTAGCATAAAAATCAAAAAATGTAGCCGACTAAAGATTCATCATTTTTTAAATAGTATTTACTCCAAAGGACTAAAATTATGACAAAAACACAAAATAGGATTTACCATGTTTTTTTTTTCAAAATAGGATCATATTAGTCCTATTGGAAACATACCTATTTTTTCATTCCATTCTTACCCTTCCTTTAAATACGAGTTAATTAAATGTTTAATTCATAATAAATTCGGAAAAAAAATCATAGGAAAATAAATAAAAAAATTATAAAATATTTATTTTTGAGGTATGCAGAGATGTCTAGAGAATTCCTTAGAGTTCTCTAGAGTATGTAGAGATGTGTAGAGAATTCTAGAGAACTGCTCTCCACCATTCATTATGGATTTATGGAGGTGGAGTAGTATAAATAGAAGTAGATGTCTTCATTCCTAACCATCTAGGGGTGGACCGGTTCGGGCCCGGCCGGGCCTCGGTTCATGAAAGGGGAGGCCCGGAACCGGCCCGGGTAACCCCAGGTCCGGTCCGGGCCTCGGTTCATTTTTTTTTGCTATTCCTAATTAACCCCCAACCCTCTCCCCCTCACCCCCAAACGACATCAAATGGCCCATCATACCCAATCCAACCCAAAAACTTAAAAAGAAAAAAAAAAAAATAAATAGGCCCGGACCGGGCCGGTTCACTATTTAGCAGGCCCGGGCCCGAACCGCCTACCTCACCAGGCCGGGTGGCCCGAACCGGGCACCAACCGGTTCACCGGGCCGGTCCGGGCCCGCACAGTAGCGGACCGGTCCGGTTCCGGCCGGTTGGCTCGGCCCGAGTCCACTCTTGTAACCATCCTAGCAAGAGATAATCCACTTCCTAGAGTGAGAAAGCTATAGAGTTAGAGAAGTTCTTTAAGAGAGGAGAGTTGGTTTGGGAAGTTCTTATACTCAAGTTTCAGTGAACAACCATTGAGTGAGACAATTTTGTAACATCCATGTATATCATACTTCACGAAGTGGGAAAGTCCGGAGTTTTTCCCAACAGATATTTATATTTCAATTACTGTCTTAAAGGGCATCACATGGATCACCGACCTCTATGTTAGACTTCACTGTGATCAATTGTATAAGGAAACTTGCTTAACCAGCGTGTTTTGTCCACCTGCTGCTGCTAGGCTTGTGTCTGAAGTTGGTTGCTCACTGTTTAGGTCCCCCACAGTGGCCATTTGAAGCACTTATGTCTTCTAATCCAGCCTTATTTTATTCCATTAAATAACAAATACTCCCTTTAATTTCAAGAAAATAAAATTAAACACAATGTAGCTACTTCTCTGTTATAAATATGGAAACTACTAAAAAGGAATAACATAATGGAAATACATAAGAGATAATTACAGAGAAAAAATATAGGATGAGAATCATAAATAAAATGACAGAAAATTTGCTATACAATCTATGGGGTTCTAGAAAAGGTGAAAGCAATCCAGAAAATTGGAGGTAAATGAGTTAGTACTATATCTGTTCATGCCACAACAAAGTGGAAGAAAAAATGGAAAACAAGGAACAGATACTCATCTGAGAACCACATTCAATTTGCTCTGCACTTGTTCTCTTACTTTCCACTGCATCCAAAAAATACACACATTACACGAAAGTTTAGGAAACAAAAAAATGGGGAGTTGGTTGAGAGAATGGGCAATTGGGGGCACTGTGTGAACCTGCAATTCATTTATTTCTTCATCAGTGAGTGAACGCTCCATGGACCGATATGCAATTCTATAGCACTGACTCGTCATTCCTTTCTTATTCGTGAAGTTATCTATTAGCCGAACCTGAAATTAGAATATGGGCCCATTATGCGCGTTGTATTCTATTCCATACACCATACCACAACAAATCCAAAGCTTTGATTCAATATGAACTTTCATATTACCTCCATGCATTGAACATTGACAACTTTGAATCAGGTGAGAAATAAGAAAACTAAAAATTATATGATTGATGTTTGTGCAGAGGGGAGAGAGATGAACATTCATAATCATTCATCATTACCCGGTGCCGTAAAGGCTCCCACCTACAGTGGGGTAAAGGGGTCGGATGTATGCAACCTTACCCATGTACTAAAGCACAAAGAGACTAATTCCGGATGATCATGGTGAAAATCGCGTCGAAAATTGCATGAACTGACCGGTGCTTCATAGCAAAGAAGCGCAGACAATTTAGTGAGACATTTTGCTTTATTCAATCATATTCTCAAGCTAAAAAATAGTATATCTTTGGCTCCATTGCACATAGAGAAATGAACAAAATCTCAAATTAATTACTTTAATGAGAAAGTGCCAAAGTTTGTAGGACAATCAAAAAAGAAAAGTTGACAAAGTTCAATGGGACAAATGGAGTATATTTATTCACTCTTGGGTGTAGAAAGAATTCTTAAGATAAACAAATCTTGATACCAGAATACGAAAATCATGGCTTAGGTGGATACGAAAATCAGGCATACTTACATAAATTAAAGGACATAAGCATCAAAATGGTGTTGCCTTTTCATATAACTTTTCTTTTTCCTTATCATGGCTTAGGTGGATACGAAAATCACTGCTAGCTCGAATGTTTATCTAACAAACAACCCTAATGAGGACTTCTATTAATGGTTTTCTTTGTTTTAGTTTAGGGTGCTATTACAGCTGGTTCGAGAGCTTATCCGGTTATCCCTACAATATATTCCCTCTGTTCCTTAAAACTTTGCCATTTATGAATTTTCGGTAAATTATTTTCAACTTTGATCAATAATATTTTTATAGTAAATTATTAATAATATAAAAATGATATAAAAAATATTCTTTGTTAAAATTACTTATAATAAAAGTATAGAATTTATAACTTCCATAATATTATTCTAACCACAATCATGGTCCAAACTTTACCACCATTGACTTGA